CACTTCTCCCCATAAATGACACAAGTTTCAGAGCTAAGAAGGGGGAAGAAGCCAGATTTATTTAAGAACCGTGCTATTAACGTAACAGCAACAATGACTGACCAAACCACAGTGGCAAGAAAGGCCGTAAAACGAGACAAAACTCAATTCACAATCCTCTCGCTTAGCGACAGAAATGTTGGGCTCAATTTGTAGTCGTAAGCCAAGGGCTACATATACAGCAATAGGATCGGTGAAAAGCATCTCGCCTGGACACCAGGATCAAAGCCATCTAGAGCTATTCTCCCTCTCAAAAGCCCCTCCAGAAAACAGAACGGAGCTCACCATGTAATAGTTTTGGAGCCGAGTGGGAGTCTTCTGGGTGTTGCTCGCTGCCATTCCTTTCTCCTTCACCGAGATCCGGACGGGGTTTCGGAGTCCTGCTCTCACTAAGTTTTCCACCTCTTGGGTCTGAGTTGCAGAGAAGAGCCCTGTCCGTCTCTGCTTGGGCAGAAAATCCAGGATAGTATTCAAACTGCGGGCAAATACAAGGAACGGTGTCAGAAGCATTCGGCTAGCAAAAGGCTAAACCCGATCCCTAGGCCAAAGGCTTTCGCATTTTTCTCAAGCTTGCAGAAGCTGCTAGTTAAAAACAAAATAAAAATACCCCTGAACCCACTATTGAGACATAAAGCTCCAGTGATATATAACCTTTCTCTTGATGCAGTTCTACAGAGGAATTATTGAGTCTGTCATCTGCAGCTCTATAACTGCCTGGTTTGGCTCTGCAACCCAACCAGACAGACAAGAGACTCCAGAAAATAATTAGGACTGCAGAAAAAACAATGGCTACCAATCTGCCTTCAATCGAAGACCTGTATACTGCACGGGTCAAAAAGAGGGCTGTGAAAATATTTACAGACTCCTCATATCCTGGACATAAATTGCTTCAACTCCTTCCCTCAAAACTACACTATAGAGCCCTGCACACCAGAACAACTAGACACAAGAGGAGTTTTTTCCCAAATGCCATCACTCTACTACACGAATAATTCCCTCGACACTGTCCAATTATTTACTAAGTCTGCACTACTATTACTATTAATCTTCTCATCACTCCTTATCACCCATCCCCTCCCACTTGTGACTGTATGACTGTAACTTTGTTGCTTGTATCCTTATAATTTCTATCAACTGTTTCCTAGTATGATTTGATTTCTTATTGTACCCTATGACTATCATTAAGTGTTGTACCTGATGATTCTTGACGAATGTATCTTTTCTTTTTATGTACACTGAGAGCATTTGCACCAAGACAAATTCCTTGTGTGTCCAATCCCACTTAGCCAATAAAAAAATCAATTCAATTCAATTCAATTCAAATTCTATTCTAATTTTTATTCTATTCTCCTTTGTAATGCAGCCCAAAAAAATCAAGCCCTAGACAATTCAGCAACAATCGAAAAATATAATTCATGGAAACTGGAGCAACCAATTCCAAGAAAGGAAAATTAAATTGATCAATCTACTTTATACTAATGAATGTCAACGAATACAAGAGTTTACCTTGCTTCGAACCCCATGTCCAGTAACCGATCTGCTTCATCCAAGACCAAAATATCCAGAGATTTTACAGCCTTGGCCAAATCCAGGCCCTCTGATTTCCTCCTGAACATGTCCTCCAAACGACCTGGGGTGGCCACGAGGATGTTTCCACTGATCAAGACAGAAAAAAATATGATTTGTAGGTTGGTTCTGAGATGGGTACTTGGAACAGCTTAGATCTTGCAATGATACCTTTAACAATTTCATGGAACAATGTTTGCCTATACTTGGGAAGGACTCCCTAGGTAGATAAAAGTGCCAAATCTACTCTAAACACCTGGCTGACTGTGTGACCAATAATAAATTAAATTCATGTACTGCCTGAGTCCGAGTAGTGATAGTTTTACAGTCATGACCTCACCATTTAACTCACCCTTGTTCTTTGAATCTTTCTACATCTTCCATCGGATTTTTCCCACCAATCAAAAGGCACTGACTGGAAAAGAAAAGGTGAAGCAACATCTTAAGTTAAAAAACAAACAAGGTCATCCAGCTTTCCGAACCACCAGATGGGACTTACCTGAACTGTGGGTAACATTTAATGAAATGGGAGATCACTTCATTTATTTGGATAGCAAGCTCTCTTGTGGGAGTGATGATAAGAGCACCAATCTACAATGGTAAAGCACCAAAAACAGAATTAGTATCAATATAGCTTCAGCTGCACCTACGTTATATTAGTAAGACATTTCTCTTCCACAAACCGCAGACCTTAAACTAATAATACTCCATATTTCTTATGTGGCAACAATGATTTCAGTGCTGGATGGCACAGTTAGAAGGTTGGATTTCCAGATTACCCCGCTAGGTCTTAAAAAAGAAGAAGAAATGAATCCACATATTACCTGCATTTTTTTAAGCTTTTCTTCACGCCGGAGAAGTATTTCTATGAGGGGAATGACAAATGCTAGCGTTTTTCCACTGCCAGTTACCTGAGGGGATGAAAAATAGAGAAATCTAAAAAGTTCCTAAATGACTCAAAGAAGAAAAATCATGGCTAAAATATATATTTTTTTGATCACTCACTGCTTCAGCTGCCACGTCCTTATTAGTCATAAATAAAGGGATCGTTGCACTCTGTTGAAGAAGCGAGAGGAGAGATTATGAGGGACCACGAATGCTTTCAAAGAAATGCATCAGAGGAACTATACGGAAAGGGAGATTTCTAGTTTGGCAGTTGATTCAAACATCAAGATTCTATTTATTAATTAATTCATCCATTCTATCAATCACTTTTCCATGGCTGCTGAACTCAACAAGGGATTCAGGCCAGCTTACAAATTCTAAACTTTTAAACCAATTAAAACATTTTGAAAGACGTTCAAACAATACAAGCATCCACCAAATGATATTTAGAATATTACGCTGGATGCCCAAAGCCTTCCAAAAAGATGCTTATTCATGCATAATATTTTAGCATTTATGCTTTATTGGTTTTATTGTTTTACTGGCTGCATTTTTGGGGGTTGTGAGCTCCCCAAAGGCAGTGAGAGTCAGTTAACACACAAACTTCATATACTGTATTATTATAGTTCATTGCACCATCAGCCAGATGTTTGGGAGGAGGAGGAGGAGGAGGAGAAGAAAGAAGAGGAGGAGGAAGAAGAACAGAGAGAGGAGGAGGAAGAGGAGGAAAAGGAAGAATGGAAGAGCTTGGGTGGCTTTCCCTTAATCCAAATAGGCAGAAAACCCTTTTTGCAGGGTTGTCTTCCTCCTCCTCCAGGCGGGCTGGCATCCAACCCCATCAGCACGGGGGCGGGGGGCTGGGAACGATGGGACTTGGAGTCCAGCCTGCCCGGAAGCCCAAAGGGAGGCCCTCCCGCTCCCTACCTGCACGGGCGTCATGTGAGAGAAGCGCAGCTCCCGCAAAGCCTGCAGGACCCCCGGGCTGAGCTCCACGGGCAGCGATTCCCACGTCCCCTCCGTCACCTGCTCCATCGTGCGCCCGCCCGCCCGCCTCTTGATTGTTGGGCCGGAAATCCCGACCTTTTAAGAGGTCCCCCGCGCGGCGAGCGTCCCTCACTTCCGGTCTCCGACCGGGAAACCAATCCCGCACGGAAGGTTCCGACCCCATGAGGAATCGTCGCGCGGATCAAAATGAAGAATTTCTACTTCGACCACCACCACCCCCGCCCCCCTCTGGTCAAACAGGAGGCCCGAGACTATTGTGGACCACCGTCCAAGTCTCTTCTTGAAAACCTCCAGAGATGAAAAGCCACTTTTGGGACTCCAGTTGGAGCACCCACAACTCTTGGAGGATCAGTCTTCTCACGTTTCATGGCGGAGTTGCTACTTTTAATAGTCATAGTTAGGAAACTAGGGCGCTTGGGAGCAGCTGCCTAGTCTTGGGGTGCAGGGAAGACTTCTCACCCCCTCTAAGAAATGCCAAATATTTGCACCCTCAAAACTTCCAAGGAACCTTTATGATGGAAAAAGACAAAGGCACGATTTCTCGCAAAAGGAGATCATATTCTAAGGACAACCTTTGGAACATGTCCCCAATACTTTCTGTATTGTGTGTATTTCCCTAAAATTATGCTGGTTTGGTTTAGGTTGGTTTAAATACCAACTTAATAGGTCCCACTGACTTGTAACCATCATATAATCCTCCAGATGCTTGTCTCCCCGCCCCATCACACACCTATTTGAAATAACTTGCCCCTTTAAGGTAAAAATAAAAACATACCCCCCAAAAATAATAATACTGATTGTTGAAAATGTAAGATAAGCATCAGGCTAACCCACTTTTTTTTTTAAAGAAGGTATTTATTTAATTGAATCTGGGCAAATTTCAAACATTTTGAAATGTACATTTTCTACGCTGAACTCCACTGATCTTATATTAGGATTGGCATACGATGAGTTGGCGAAGAAGTGTTCCTTACGTCTCCACCTCTGGCTGAAAAGATTACTGGAACCAGGAAAACTTGTAACGAATTTTAATTAAATTAAATTTGGTACAAAACTCTTTTCTGCAGTACTGACAGAATTCTCCCCACCCTCCCCTTTGAAAAGAACCCACTCCCACCCCACTCCCCCAAATTATAACCAATATACATCAGTCCAATATACATCAGCCACCACATAATCCAAGACCAGGCCCACCCCAATAGATAGACGTGGTGATTGTTAATTCCATCATCTGAATAAGTAAGAAGAATGAAAGAAAGAAAGAAAAAACACCTCAATTCTATAAAAAAAAAAAATTATGTCGATGCGTGAAAAGAGAACAAGCAGAAAATAAAAGAGGACAGCCAAATTCGGAGCAACGACGCCTTTCTTGAGAGAGGTTCCTGCGCCTTGAAGAGCAGGGCAGAGTGGAAAAGCTGGAGAGAAAATTTATGGAATTGCAGTCGTAACATGAACTTAAAAATGTGCACCGGTTCAGTATGCAAATAGCCTCTCGGGAAAGATTCAGCAACAAAGAAAAGGGATGGTTTTTCCGTTTCATTTCTCTTGGTGAAGGGAAAAAAAATCATTCCCCATCCGAGGCTGCCAGGACCAAGTAGCCCAGGCTGCAGAGTACTGTAGAAATCTTCTCCCTCACTCCTCTCAAAAGTTGTGAGATCAGAAAGCAGGGACGTGTTCCTGCCCTAGCGCTACAGAAAGGAGTAGCTTTGGAAGGATCAGCAGAGAGAGAGGAAGATGCTAGCCTTAACCCAAATCCCCCAACAACAATTGCCAGCTCCAAGGTTTGAAAACAAAGGCCATAGGGAACAGGGCTCTCCTTGCTTCTCTAACTTAAATCTCAAGGAACAAATCGGTGGAACCACCATAAAGATATTGGGGATTTTACAAGACGTCACTTAAGCCGTGGCTTAACAGCACCTATTCCTAGTTTTGTGTATGTCTGAATAGTACCGTCTTCATTTCTTCCTCGGCATAGTGCCTTTTGGGGGAAGCACTGCTAGGATGGGAGTACACCATAACTGTTCTCTAGTGAAAGTAGAGGTGAAACCCATTGATTTAGTTAGAGAATCTCCCCCATATTGTGAAAAAGCCCTGTACCATTTCTCCTAGACAAAATGTCAGCAATTTGCTACAAAACAACCCCCGAGAAGCCAAAAGAAAGAGAGAGGGGGGAAAAAACACCCAAGAATTAAGAAGAGCAAGGGTACTGTTTTCCAACTAACGTCTGTCAATTTTGGTTCAACTCCTTTTGGCTTGTGAGAAAAAAAATCGTCCAATTTCAGAAAAATAACTCACGGCAGGTTATCGCCTCATATCAAAACAAAAAGAAAACAACAACCACCATCAAAACCCAAAGAAACCCAGAATTAAGCTAAGAAAACATTAAACTTAAAAAGTTTTATAGTTCAGGATGCGGGGATAAAGGAAACTACGTGATTTTTGCAATAAAGTTGTTTGGTAAAAGAGTGAACAGAGTCTGGGATCACCAGAATAGGGGCTGGGAGCCAAGTTTGATTAAACCACTCTCCGGACTTCAAAAAACCTCTTCAGGTAGTAGATCTGTCCCAGTGTCATGGCAACTAGTACAAGGGCTTCGAAGAACGACCAGAGGACCACTCTGCTATTTGTGTTGTCGTTAACTGGAGAAGAAACCAAGAAGAAAACACAAAATTAGCACATGAAAACTACAGAGCTACATAACTTCAGGAACGCCTCCTATCTAAGCCTCGCGTACTTAGCTCATCGATGGAGTCTCTACTCCATGTCTAGGAATCTTCTGGGGGAGGGAGGAAAGGGAGAACCAGCCATACAGGTATTTCTACAAAGCTTGCAAACCCAGCCGAGAAAGGATTTGGAACACCTAGCAAGGTTCTGCTACCGTTGAAGATCTGAAGTATTTTTTTAGATTTTTATTCCCCTTTTATTACTTTATGAATAATTCAAGGCGGCAAAGAGATCTAATACTCCCTCCTCTCCCAGATGACAACAATCCTGTGAGATGGGCTTGGATGAGAAAAAGTGACTGGACCCAAACCATCCATTTGGCAGTTCGAATCTCACCAGGCTCAAGGTTGACTCAGCATTCCATCCTTCCAATGGAAGGTAAAACGAGGAGCCAAATTGTTGAGAGCTGACTCTATACGCTGCTTAAGAGGCCTGTAAAGCACTGTAAAGCGGTATGTAAGTCTAAATGCTATTTGCTATTACTATCTGGCTTTCATGGCTAACACGGGACTACAACTCTCCGTCTCCTAGTGATTGGCCCAAAGTTATCCAATGGGCTTTCATGATTAAGGTGGGACTAGAACTCACTGTCTCCTAGCGATTGGCCCAAAGTCACCCCGTCAATTTTCAGGTGTAAGGCAGGACTGGGACTCACCATCTCCTGGTTTCTAGCACTTTAAGCATTACATTAAACCGGCTGGAGAATTCTGGGAGTTGAAGTCCACAAATCTTTAAAGTTGCCAAGTTTGGAGACCTCTGCATTAAACTGTCTCGAGTACCTTAAGTCTTCCTGTTGCTGTGGTTAATCAAAACCCACACTGACCACTCCCATCCACTGCAATTACCCAGTCTCCTCCTCCTCCTCCTCCTCCTCTCAGAACACCACTTCCCTTTTGCTAGTCGTTGCAAGATCAGGTTTCTTCTCTTCCTCTTCTGCCAGCCTGCTTGCTCACCTGCCTGGAAAGTTGTTGTTGCCAAGGCTAACAGACCAATTGTTGAATACAAAAATGGATGGGGGGGGGGGGAACCCCACTCCACTAGAAAAACAGAACCGCAAGCCAAACGAAGGCTAACTTACTTGCTCGATGTACTCTTTCGCGAACTTCCATGTATTCCTGTTCGTGCTTGACAGCTGTCATGGCCACTGCTAATTCGTTAATCATCTCTTCTAGCTTGTTCTGGTGAGCTGCAGAAGAATTACACAACCTCACACCTGTGCCACAGATACTACAATCCAGCTGCAATTAGGAAGCAATCCGACATGTCCACAGCCAGCAAAGTATATGAGCGCAGAACCTCTTAAAATAAAGCACAAAAGCATGCTAGATAGTTCATTCTAAATCCCATCTAATCTGTATACCAGAGGTCTTCAAACTTGACAGCTTTAAGACTTGGGGACTTCAACTCCCAGAATTCCTCCTCCTCCAGTCATGTTAGCTCAGGAATTCTGGGAGTTGAAGCCCAAAAGTCTTAAACTTGTCAAGTTTCAAGACCCTTGCTGTATACTGTTCAAGGAGGGCAACTGTTAAGGGACAGAAACAGCATTCCAAAGAGTCTCTCCCCCTTCACACAAGACCCTTATCTCTGTTATTTCAGGCGCTGGCATGGATTAATTTGCAATGTTCTGTTACCACAAAAAGGAGGAATTATTCCCAGATAGGAAGAAAACCGACGGAACCGTAAACGAGGAACCGCCAAAGGACGTCAAGGCCAAGACAACTGTGTAAGCGAAAGGGTGCGTTATTAGTAGAATTGGTTTTACGGTGACTTCGAAACATGCTAGCACTCACAGGCGCATGTTCCTCAGCTCAAGGCCGCTTTGGCAGGGAACATTCCAGCTCACCACTTCCCTTATCAGAGGGCAGTCAGTTAAAGAACCACCGCAAAGCCCGTGCAGGATTATTGAGTTTGGAAAGAGGCCTGACTTGCCGTCTAACCCTTTGTAGGAAATCCAGAGCACAACAGGTTGATAGCAGGGAGGGAACAATAACGAAAGAACCAGGGAAGGAGGAGGAGGAAAAAATAAAAATAAACTTTTGGCAAAGAATTTGCAACGAATTCGCCTCAAATCTGCTGGTCTCCAATACTAGCGTCCGAAGATAGCAGGAAGCAGGGGAAAAGGGACCGAGGTATTTTAAAACTAAAGATGAAGATTGAGGCCTGAACAGAAAAAGAAGCTTCAGAATGGAGAATGGAAGATGGATAAAGGAGCCTCATATTTTTTCAGGGGGGTTGCTAGGCTGCAAGCCACCATAATCCCTAGCAGTAGCTGCTCTTCGGGACAAGATCAGAGCCAAGTACAGGCAACCCTTGACTTACAACTGTTCATTTAGTGACCATTAGAAATTGCAATGGCACTGAAGAAAAAAAAAGGACTCTTTTTCACACCGATGACCCTTGCAGCCTCTCCCTGGTCATGTGATCAAAATTCAGATGCTTGTCCACTGACTCATAGTTACGACAATTCAGTGTCCAGAGGTCATATGATCTCCTTTTTGCGGCCTTCGCACAAGTCAATGGGGGAAAACCAGATTCACTTAACAACCGGGTTACTAAGTGGACAACTGCAGGGATTCCCTCAACAGCCGTGGCAAGGAAGTTGGTAAAATGGGGCAGAACTCGCTTAACAACGGAAACAGTGGGTTCAGTTGTGGTTGTTTCCTTATAAGAGAAATATAGCTTGGGGTTTTTTTTAGTCCAAGGAAGGCTCTGGAACTACAGAGCCTGTTATCTCCATTGGAGAACAAACACCTGTTTGCTTTGAGATGAAAGGGATAAATATCACGAAGTGCTTCTTTTGGTATACAACCCTCGGGCCTTTCTATCTGACAGCCCCTGGACCATCGATATATTAGCCGGGAGCCTCTTATCCCGTCACACCAAGCTTCGTAAGGCTGTTAACAGATTAGGAGAAGCAAATCAGAGGGATTAACAGAACTTCTTCAGAGAAAAACACCTACCATCCCAGGTATCTCCGCCACCTAAAGGAAAACAAAAGAGGTGAGCAGGAGGGGGAGTTAAAAAGAAAGACGCTGCCCCTCAACAACGGGGACAATTGTAGCACGGCCCTCTTTCCGACAGACATAAAAAGGAGTTGCCAACTCTTAGGACTGGCCCTCCCAGTGGATGAACAGCTTCCCCCAAAAGGAAAGTGCGGGGACATCACAGGAGGGGCTCCATCGTGTCCTCTGAGAATCCAATACAAATGATACTCCATGCACAATAGGGAAATGAGGACGTGCTTTGCCTCAGCACGGAACAAAAGGGTTGGATCCCATTTTCTAATCCCATTTCTCTGATCGAAAGGCAAAAGAGTTGGCAACCACAGAATAGTTTGTGGTAAAGAGGACGGGAAATCTAAGAAAGTACTTAGAACTGGAACAGTAGAGAGCGAGTACCTAGAAAAAAAGGATATTCAGTCTTATAATTTAGGAAAAAAGGTCTATCAAGGACTGGTAATAGATAGGAAAGAGCTGGGGTAAGTTTAAGAGGCTGAAATAAGGTTGAAGGAGGTAAGGCTGGGGTAAGCATAGCCATAGAAACAGCACCATGAAGGCCACATAAAGAGATAAAGACCATGTGACACAAAGCTTCCATCCAGCGTTAAGAACAATTTTTTTCAGTCTGGCACCCCTTTCCTATATAGCCATTCATCCTTTCTGGAGTTTCGAAGAGACAAAAGTTGACATACCTAGAGTGGAAAGGATGTTTGGATGGCTAGGTCTGCCGAAAATGCACAAAAATGAAATATAAACAAGATCCACCACATTGGAGACCGCCCCAAAATTACTTGGAATGTTCAAATGACCAATCCTTCCCCTGGAAAAATTCCATTATCGTATAGAGAGAAGTCGTGATGCTGTTTTCCGAACATTTGAATCCCAAAAGAGAACAGGCTTAGAATTTATGAAACACATAATGTCAGGGAGGAGTAAATGCGGCAAGCAGGGAAATTTGTGGGAGCATCTGGCCTCACCTTCTGTCTCCATGTCCTGTCCCTTAGGAGCTTCCCCAATGTCAATAGTGAACATCACTATCTTTGGAGTCATGGTGGACATTTTGTTGCTGAAGCAGAACTTATACGTTCCGTCCATGTGAGCTGCGAAGGTGTATTTTCCACTGGATTCTCTGTCGCCTTTGTGAATGCCTTTGTTATCAGGGCCTGTGATCTGAAAGCAAGGAGGAAGGGGAACGGTTATTCTTCAATGCATCCAAAGTGAAATGAAGCTTATCTATGGAACTCATGTGCAAAACGTGGCAAGGGTGAAATAATACAGTGTATATTTCAACAATTATTTCAAAGACAGCCAATAAGGTAGTGGCAAAGATGTTTGGCTACAAGACTGTGAGTTTTATTGTCTCTCCAAACCTGCACACTGTCTGAGTGACTTTGGATCAACAACCTGCTTCACAGGGCTGTAGGAAAAGCAACTTAAGAGAGAAGCAACTTAGAACTAAGGAGAAATTTCCGGACAGTGAAAACAATTAATCAGTGGAACTGCTTGTCTCCAGAAGTTGTAAATGCTCCAACACTGGAAGTTTTTAAAAAGATGTTGGATAACCATTTGTCTGAAGTGGTGTAGGGTTTCCTGCCTGGGCAGGGGGTTGGACTAGAAGACCTCCAAGGTCCCTTACAACTTGCTGTTCTATTCTAAAACTACAGGTAGGAACATTAAGGGCCGTGCATAAGCTCACCATTGTGGCTACCGTCCCTGTCCTATTGCCCCCATTTATTCGTACCTATTTCCTGTATTCTTACTCATGTTTATACTTATACCTATTATCTTGTAAGTGATTGACAAATCAAAATAAATAAAATAAATAAACATGAGGTATGTATGCTGCCTTAAATTGACAGAAAAAAAGCCAAATTAAAAACATAATATATAACCAATCCAGCAGATGGCATTCAGTACTGCTCAGATATTAAATTCCAAAATGAATTTCAGGGTATAAAAATGTAGTATTTGTTCTTACTGGATCTTACCAAAATCTAATTAGACATCTAGTTTCTGCAGTAGCCAATCAGAGTGTTAGAACACAACTTACAACAAAACTTTATTATAGTCAAGAGGCTTAGTAGCAATCCAAACACTAAAAGAACAGTACAACGATCCCTCACAACTATGTGTCACAACTATGTGTCGTTTTATGTCAGGTTAACCAGGAAACACTATCAACCTTACACCTGTCTTAACTAATTAATGATTTTCTGGGTAGCTCCAAAGAACAATTATTTACATTTTTTTAAAGAGTCCAACAAGTTCATACAGGGCCACTGCAGTTGTCTAATCTTTTCTAAATACACACACCCAACAAAGCTAACCACAGACAATCCTCCCAGAGTTTCCTATCACACACAACCAACAACGCCAACTTTTCTGTTATAAATTCAAAGTTTGAGATGACAAATTATTGTTTGGTTGTCACACATGACTGCCTGGTGCCACCTCATCCCTCCTTCCTTACAATTACTTCGAATTCGTTTTTGTTCTTCTCAGGCCTTCTGCTCTTCACCACTACGTCCAAGTAAGGCTACTACTGGTAGCAAGTACAGATGGTTCTCGACTTTCGTTCAGCGACCATTCCAAGTTATAACGGCACCGAAAAAAGGGACTCATGACCGTTTTTCCCACTTCTGGCCGTTGCTGCATCCCCACAGTCACGTGATCAAAATACATGGCACTTGCCGACTGGTTCGCATTTATGACGGTGTCCCGGAGTTACGTGATCCCCTTCTTAGAAGCCAAGTCAACGGGAAAGCCAGATTCACTTCACAACTGAGTTGTTTTGACTTAACAGCTGCGATTCACTTACCAACTACGGCAAGAAAGGTCGTAAAACGGGGGGGGGGGCAAAACTCACTTAACAACCATCTCGCTTAGCCATTTGGGGTCCCGATTCTGGCTGTAAGTCGAGGACTGCCTGTGTCCATGCATTAAATGTACATGTGGCTCTTACTCCAGGAGCTTCCCTTTCTCAGAAGCCAGGAAAAGATTTCATCGCTTCGGCTGCCCTTATAGGCAGCCCTGCAAGTCCGCCCAAAGCGTAGAACCTCCAGCCGACGAGGCAGTCTACCTTAGCCCCCCCAAAATATGAACCTCCTCGGGCCTCCTTTCCTGCTTCTGCAGGTGGGGGGGGGGATGGGAAGGGGAGGCAGGAGGGGGGGGGGGGGGACTCGCTTAACAACCATCTTGCTTAGCTATTTGGGGTCCCAATTCTGGTCATAAGTCGAGACCATTTGTATCAATGCATCAAGCATACGTGTGGCTCTACCCCGAGGGGCTTCAGCAGGGGGAGGGGGGGGGGGGGGGGGAAATTCACCGCCTCTTCTAAGCATCCCGAGGCATTTCCCAGAGTGGAACCTCCAGCTGACGAGGTACTCTACCCCAGTACCCCCCAAAATATGAACCTCCTCGGGCCTCCTTTCCCCCTCGAGGCACCTCTAAGCCTCCCAGCTTGCCATGGGGGCAGATCTGGGGGGGGGGGGGGGGCGGGCGGGGGCCCGGGCTCGGGGGCGCCCCGGGCCCCCCCCCCCCCCGGCCCCCGGGGTCCCCCCCCCCCCCCCGCCCCCACACACACACAAGCACACGCCCCGCCGGCCCCGGGACTCGCCTCGACGTCGATGTCGAGGAAGCCTCCCTCGGCCACCTCGAAGATGAGCCCCATCTTGGTGCCGGAGGGGACCCGCTCGAGGAAGCACTCCTCGGCGTGCGCGTCGATGCTGACGAAGTAGCCGGCCGCCGGGGCCCAGAGCGCGGCCAGCAGCGCCAGCACGGCCCGCACGGGCGACATGGCGGCGGCGGGGGAGCGAGCGAGGCGGCCCACGCGACGGACGGAGAGCGAGGACGAGGCGAGCCGGGGCCGCAAGAGAACAGGTAGGCCACGGAGGGAGAGAGAGAGAAAGAGAGAGAGAGGGGGGGGGCAGAGGAGGGCACGCTTCCGGCCCAGACCACGCCCCTTCCGGTGCACGGGGCCGCTCCTCATAGGCCCGGGACGGGCCCCGATGCCACGTACAGTCTGGAAAGCAGCGACGCTAGGCTGGGGAAAGGGGAGGAGGAAAGAAGAGCGGGGCGGGGCCGGGAGGAGTGAGGCGAACGCTGATTGGAGGAGGAGAACTGAACGGGCTATAGGGAAGAGACGTGGGTGGAGTGGTTAAGGACGGTGGCCGCGTGAGGCCAATCCGCGCATCCGTAGTGTACGTGGAAGGGGGGGGAAATACGACTCCCGCGACGGCGGCTCAGAGGGGACATTTCCGACGCGTTTGAGAAAGGGAGGGAGGTTGGGAGGCACAATCGCAGCTGAATTTGGGGTTGGGAGGGTGGGGGGATATATTTTGCGGGGGGGGGCTTGTTTTGCTGGAAAGACGTACAGGAAGCAAGTGCGGGTTATTCAGAGGCAATTTTTTTTTCAAGCAAGCAGGCGCTTTAGACAGGACGGACTACAAAGCCCATTATTTATTTATTTATTTATTTATTTATTTATTTGATTTGCCAATTGTTTACAAGATAATAAGTATAAGTGTATACATAGTTGTGAATACATGAAATGGGTACATATAAGAAAAATAAAAGAATAAGAGAAACAATAGGACAGGGACGGTAGGCACGTTGACCGGCTGCGGCTCTGGGGGGTGGGGTCCTGCAGAGTCTCCCCATAATTGGGGCTCCTTGGGAGTCTGTTGGACTCCAAACCCCATCACTCTGGGCTGGGGGTGTGGATGATGGGCATTTGAGTCCAACGTGCTTTGAAGGCCGGCATTGCGCCTATTTATGAGGCTGATCTCCCTGGGAAAACCCCTGCAACCCCCCCCACCCCCCCCAAAAAAAACGATGGTGATCGAATAATGGAAGAAGGCGCCACGCAATATCTACGGGGAGTCCTCCTTTAGCGACGAAAGGAAAGCTGAAGGAAGATGGTAAGCGCAAGTCGGCATTGTCCTTCGTCAGCGGCTTCGCTTAACAACCTCCTTCCTGGTCCGCATAGCGGTCGCTAAACAAGGGCGGCCTGTATCCTAAAAGAGGCTGCCTTCTCTTGGCTCAGGCCTTTCTGACCGCTGGCTCACGTATCCGTAGGGATGCTGCTGCAGTGGTTGTAAGTGTGAGGACTGGTCCAAAGTCACTTAATTGGGTTTCTGTTTCCTGTGTTCAGGAGTCAGATCCTTTCATTTCGTTCAGGGTCCCCTCCAAATTTTGTAATCCAGACAGAGACCAAGAACAATTTTTGCATTTTAAGTGACTTGCAGCGTCTCCTCAAACATTCACCTCGATTTGAATAATCCTCAAGAAATTCCAATACACTGAGAAAAAGAAATAGAGGAATATAGAATTCTTGATTGGCCAAGTGTGATTGGACACACAAGGAATTTGCCTTGGTGTAAATACTCTCAGTGTACATAAAAGAAAAGACACATTCGTCAAGAGTCGAGAATCATCAGGTACAACACTTGATGATATTCAGAGGGTACAATAAAGCAATCAAATCATAGTAGGAAACAGTCAATATAAATTGTAAGGATACAAGCAACAAAGTTACAGTCATACAGTCACAAGTGGGAGGGGATGGGTGATAGAAACGATGAGAAGATTAATAGTAATAGTAGTGCAGACTTTGTCAATAGTTGGACAGTGTTGAGGGAATTACTTGTTTAGCAGAGGGATGGCTTTTGGGGGGGGGGACAAACAGTCCTTGTGTCTAGTTGTTCTGGTGTGCAGTGCTCTATAGCAACGTTTTGAGAGTTTATGTCCAGGATGTGAGGGGTCTGTAGATATTTTCACAGCCCTCTTTTTGACTCGTGCAGGATACAGGTCCTCCATGGAAGGCAGGTTGGATTGAAGGCCCATCGAGCATTAATTGCCCGGGGATTTGAGGGTTATCCAATCCCGTTATAAGGTGAAAACACCTTACAATCCAAGTTGATGGAGATTCTCCGTCATCCAGGTCAAAGCTAGGAGGGGGAGGGAGGAGGCTCTGCCGACTTGGCCTCCAGGAGCGTGGGAAAACCCAGACACGCGTCTTGCCCGGAGCATCCTTCCTCGCCTCCGCCCGTCTCTGTCTCTCTCTGCGAGATCGCAGCGCTGCGCTCCGCCTCTCCTGGCCGGGATGCCCAGCCCAGCACTCCAACGGAGGAGGAGGAGGAGGAGGCCGGCTCAGACGGGAGGAGGAGGAGGAGGAGGAGGAGGGCTCTGGAGAAGCCGGGGTCGAGCCGCCCGTCTTTGGACCGCGGCCTCCGGCCACCGGGCTGCCTTCCCTTGCCTTGCCCCGGATTGCATTGCGTTGCGTTGCGCGGGCTTTGCAAAGCGGGCGCTGCGCGGTCCTTGGGAGCCCCGGCGAGGGGGGCGCCGCCTATGAAGGGCTCTGCCGGGGCGATGGAGGGCCTGGGGGGCCTGGCCTCGGGGGTCTCGGCGCTGGAGAAGAGCGTGGCCGACTTGACCGTGATGGACGTCTACGACATCGCCTCGCTGGTGGGCCAGGAGTTCGAGCGGCTCATTGACCAGCACGGCTGCGAGGCCATCGGGAGGCTGATGCCCAAAGTGGTGCGGGTGCTGGAGATCCTGGAGGTGCTGGTCAGCCGAGACCACATCAGCCCCGAGGTGGAAGAGCTGCGCCTGGAGCTGGACCGACTCCGCCTGGAGCGAGTCGACCGGCTGGAGAAGGAGAGGAAGCACCAGAAGGTGGGCCCGGGGTTGGAAAGTGGGAAAGGGGGGGGGGGATGATGGGGATTGAAAAGAAGAAGAGAGTGGGGAGGAAGGGGGAAAGGAGGGAGGGAGAGAAGGAGAAGAAGAGGAGGGAAGAGGCAGAAGGAAAAAAAATGAGAGGGAAGAAAGAGGGAAGGGGGGAAAGGATGGAAGGAAAAGAGGGAGGGGGAAGAAAGGGAAAAGAAAGGGGAGAAGGAGAAGGAAAGAGAGGAAGAAGAGGGAAGAGGTGTGGGGAAACATGAGAGGAAAGAAAGAAGGAAGGAGGGAAGGAGAAGAGATAAGAGGCAGAAGGAAAAAGGAGAGGGAAGAAAGGGGGAAAGGATGGAAAGATAATAGGGAGGGAGGGGAGGAAAGGGAAAAGAAAAGGGAGAGGAGAGGAGAAGGAAAGAGAGGAAGAGGAGGGAAGAGGCAAGGGGAAACATGAGAGGAAAGAAAGAAGGAAAGGGGAAAGGGAGGGAAGGAGAGAAGGAGAAGAAAAGAGAAGAGGCAGAAGGAAAAATGAGGGAAGAAAGGAGGAAGGGGGAAAGAGTATGGAAGGATAAGGGGAGAAAATAAAAGGAAGGGAAAAAGTAAAAGAAAAAAAATGAAGGAAGGGGAAGGAGGGCAGGAAAAGAGGAAGGAAAGGGAGGAAGAGGAGAGGAAAATGTAGAACAAATGAAGGGGGAAAGGGAGAAGAAGAAGGGAAGGAAGAGGAAAAAGAGGGGAGGAATGGGGGAAAGGGAGGGAGGGAGGGAGGGAAGAAGGAAGGAAAGGAAGAGAAAAGCCAGAAGGAAACATGAGGGGAAGGAAGGAGAAAGGGGAATGGAGAGAAAGGGAGAGAGGACGGAAGGAAGGGTTGCCTCCCAATGCATCTGCAGGTGAGGCCTCTCCCTGCTTAGGCAGAGGGATGACCAACAACCGCTGCCTCTGCAGAATGGCACCATTTGGGCACAGTTAGATTCTTTGCACCCTGAACTCCTTCCCACTGGGTCCCCACACCAGGCATAGCTATGATTTGTTGTCTAAGCCACCCTTAAACCCATCATTGTCAAGCTGTCTGCAGCCACTTCCCAGGGATCCTGCTAGGGTGGGGTTGCTCCTTTTTGTCCTCGGAAAACAACCCCAAGATCCTGGTGTGGTGCCATCCATCCTTGAACCGAGAAACCAAGAAACAGGATTTGCTAGATCATTAAAAAAAAAAAAAAAATCAGAAGGAGCTTAGTGTCACTTTTTCCAACAGGAACATTTTCGTAATCGGCATAATGCTTTTGCTGAGCTTCAAACCGAAGCCTAAAATTTATAAATGAGTAAAATGCATCAATCAAGATTCTGATAAGAGGGTTTGAGTGTCACAACCACGCTGGAGGTGACAAAGCTCTAATTGCCGGCATGAAAAATGGCTACAGAAGATGCTCAAAGCGTCTCTGGCGTAGAAGATAAATTGCTGATGCTTTAAAAAGAAAAGAAAAATTAAAAAGGGCGTGAGAAATTCAGCTGAAGCTCGGGATTCAGCTTGGCCTGAGAGTTGATGGCTCTCCAAACCGCTGAAATAAACTTCGGGGCTAAACACAGATTTAGAAGCATTTAACCAGCATTTCTACAAAGCACAACGCTTCTGACTCTTGAAAAAAAATCTGTTTTTAAACGTGCCAGAGAGCTGGTCTTGCAAACTTGGCAGGTTTCCTAGCTGGCACTTCAGTTGAGCTGCATCTTAAGGGGATCCCAAACCTGCTGGAGAATATTAAAATAATAATAATAATAATAATAATAATAATTTGAAGGGACCAGAAATGAGAAGCATTTTAAAAAAGAGCAGAAAGGGTTTGGTTATTTTTGTAGCCGTTCTCAGTATAATACTTGATTCTCCCAGAAGAGTCACACCGAGATCTGACATCAACTTCTAATTTGGTTGGGGAGGAAAACAAATCAACTACTCCAGGAAAGATCACAGGCTTCTTAATCACTTCTCCTGTCTTCTGCCTGAGATACATTATTGTGTAACAAAACTTGGATCTGTTCTTCCTGTTGGCAAAGATGCGACTAGTAAATGTATTTCTCCAATTTCCCAGCTCCTAGGGCTGCTCCCCAGGGCCAGCTTCTGAATTTGATGGCCCCTGCCTTTGCAACCCTGGTTTAACAGAACAGAATAACGAGAGTGGGAAGGGACCTTGGAGGTCTTGTAGTCCACCCGCTACACCATTTGCAGACAAAAGGTTGTCCGATCTCTTCGTCTTAATTTAGGGATCTTCCTTTGATTGACCAAGCGTTTCATGCAAACCCAGCTTTTTCTGGGGGTGTTATTGTGTGGGAGCTGAGAAAGAGGTTCTTGGGTTGGGTTATCTAGGAACACGTGGGCTGTGGGAACAGCGCCAAGAGAGTAATTGAAGGAGGGATGAGCTCAGCCTGGATTCGAAATGTGCCAGGCTTCCCAGCTCACTTCCTGCATGTCACTTCCAGGCTATAGTGGTGGGAGGAAGAGGGGGAGGAGGGGGAGAAAAGGAAGAGAGGGAGGAGGAGGAGGAAGGAAGAAGGAGTGGTGGGGGAAAGCAGGAGGAGGAAGGGAAGAAGAGGAAGAGGAGGAAGAAGAGAGAAGGAAGAGTGGGAGGGGGGAAAGGAGGAGGAGAAAGGGGTGGAGGAGAAGGAAAGAAGGGAGGAAGGGGGAGCAGGAAGGAAAGATGAGGAAGGGAGGAGGGGAGGCAGAAAAGGAGGAGGAGGAGGAAGAAGAAAGAGAAGGAAGAGGAAAAGGAAGAAGAAGGAGGGAGAACGAGGAGGAGGAGGAAGAGGGAACATTAGGAAGGAGGGGGAGGAAGGGAGGAGGAGTCTAGTGGGAGAAGGGGAGAGGCACCCCTCCCCACTTTCATGTGGACTTCTTCCTTGCCAAGGAAGTGGGAAAATAAATTCCCTAGCCATTCTGCATATGCGGGAAGCACATCATAGCTCAGGAAGTTAGGAAGGGAAGGAGAAAATTGTTGCCGGAAGGAACCTCACAGGGTTCCCCCCACCCCTCAAAATCAGAGGAAACGGGAGGAGGAAAGTGACAACAATGCATATAGAAAGTCCTCGACTTACGGCCGCCATTGGCAGCAGAATTCCCACTGCTAAACAAGACGGTGGTTAAGGGAGACGTAGAGGCCTAGAGATCAAAACTGAGATCTGTTTAATTTGAAATATTTTTTAAAAAACATTGGTTTTTTTTTTAAAGAAAAACAAGGACATCTTAGCATCCCATATAATCCGCAAAGAGGTCACGGGATGTCGTGCAAACCTTTAGTGGTCTCTTCCAGCATATGCTACTCTTCTCCTCCAACCTTTGGTGGTCTTCACCAACCGTTGGAGGTCTTCTCC